TTAAGGCTAATTAAAAATAATACCATGTGAAATGTGTAGGGGAAGCTGTAGCCACACCTACTTAGGGGCTGGCTACAGGTGTGCCTGCCCACGCTTGTGAGGTCATGGTCAGAGTGACATAGTGTGCCTGCGTTTGCGCTTTCGGTTTCACTTTGGTACTTGCTGTACAGACTGCTGCCACGACGGCTGGCTAGGTCGCTCTGTAAGTAAGGCTTTTCCCTATTAAATACCCTTATATTTCTACCTGACTCCGTATTGGTAATTTCCCACTATAGAAATGTCCTATAGGAACTTTAACTATACTGAGGATAAGACTCAGTGGTTAAACCACCTACCATACAAGCCTAAAGACTGAAGTTTGGAACATTGTTCAAAAGTTGACAAAACACAGTGGACATTCGTGTTCATAAGACCAAACGAGAGGAGATGAGCCCTAAGCTCTAGTTCATGGGTTCTAACTTATTCATAGAACTGATCCTAAAAGGAAGATGAAAGAAAGCACTTGAGGGATTTGTTCCATAATTAATTTGACTGTCTCGTAGATGCCTAGAATGTATAGCTTTGCAAAGCTAATACCCTGAGATGCTTCATCAATTCTGATCTATAGAACAGCAGAAGTGTCTGCTGCCTATTGACATAGTGAGATGGTTTCTTTGTTTTGCCAACTTTTGGACAAGGTATCCTAATTCACAAAATTTATGTGGATTCTTGCCCACTAACAAAAAACACTTTTTAAAAGTATTTGGATAAGTTCCATAAGGGATCACATACACAGAACACTTCTCTCTGTTTCTTTAAACTCAAACATTGCTAGGGAAGTTACCAATGTGTTAGCCTGGAGAGCTAATGTTCTAGTTGCATTTAAACTAATTGATATATCTCTTCTTCTTGATACCAATTATTCAATTCCAAAAATATATTCTTCAGAAGAAGTTTTCTTATTAACAGTCACTTGAATACTCCTATGTAATTTAACCTCAAATAAGGAATGTCCAGGAGGTTTAAGTATGTGTGTTTAAAGAGCGTTAAGAACACAAATGCCCTCTGCTTTGATAACTAACAATAATAAAAATTAGAGCCTAGAACCACCAGTGGCTTTGTTTGTCTTATACACAAAAAGATTTCCCTGGCTGCCTCAGTGAATGATGTGACAGATAAAACTCTGGATTTGAACCATATTACATGGTATATTAGGCAGAAAAGGCTAAGAGCAGAAGGCAATCATTGGATGCGGCATCCGTGAAGCAAATTTACTGGAACTGTTAGTAAATTTATTGGATCATTGCTTTTAGAATTCCATATAAACCATGCAGGTCATTTTATTTAGAAAAAGTGTGTATCTGCCTTTTGCAATGTCAAAGAATGATAAGAGAATGCTTATAAATACTATTTTTGTAGAGAATGCCCTGAATTTGGTTTAGCTTTTTTCTTTAGATCTAGATAAATATGATTCCATCCTTATTCAAATATAGGACATGGCTATAGCCTTTCAAAACCAATAAGAGCAAATTGCTTTTGGAAAGCCAATAGAAAACATACCCCCACTTTGGTATCTTAGTACGTGGCTACTACACATTAGCTTCCCATATGCAATTTCCAGAGAATTATCAAGAAAACATACTTGTTGCCATAACCAAAGGTCCAGTGACAGAAAGCTGCTGCCACCTACAGGAATTGTGGAACATTGTCCAAACTATTTAAGCATTTTTTCTAAATTTAAAGAACCTCATGGTAAACACATTTGATGACGAACCAATACACCTTACTGTGAGAAAGCTCCTTGTTTATCAGAAACTTCCAAGTCATCTCTGAGATTTCTGCTTATCAGCTAGATTTTATCTTCTGAGCTAAGTTACATCTATTTACCTTTCAAAAATACAGTAAAGCATAGAGTAAAATTAGCTTTCTTATATCAAGTAATGCACAAACAGTCAAAGATATCGCTGGTTTCCTTACCTATATTTCCACAACAGTCTTATCCATTATCTGAGGTGTTTTTCCTACTTATTACCACTCAAACCACTCAACTCGTCAGCTGTAGAGATACACATAGAAAATCATGCATGAGGCCCATTTAGGAGATTTGGCTCTATAACTTCACAGTAGTATGACTTTGAGCAAGGAATTCGCCATCACTATGCGTACTTTCATTTTAATTGAAATGGAAAGAACAAACACACCACCTAAGTATGGTTAAGCTTAAGCAAGGGAATACATTAAGGCAGATAATAAGAGTGGCACTTTTCACTAAACTAGCTTTATGACAATAGATGTCATTATTATCAGTGTACAATTATCAAATGCAAACTTTTAAATGATATCTAAAGATCCCTGAGGGTATACACATTTATATGCATGTATGCATAAGTTTGGATGTATGCGAACATACACAGATATCATATATGTGCCCTATGTGAACATGGTAGAAAAAGCCCATAGTGTTCCTCCTAGTAAGTCTCAAACCTGATTGAACATTGTAATCACCTCAAGATTCTTACAAATCATGGTTCTGCAAGTTTACTCCAAGAGATTTTGATGTTAACAGGCTGGAGTTTTATTTCTGCAAAGATCCCTAGATGAGTCTAAGGTTTGATCAAACTTGATAGCCAGTGTTAGATATTTAATTGCATGTTTTCTTTACGTAAGACTATCTTGACAGAATCAGGTGTTGAAACTTGTAGTGATGTTTGACTAGATGATACCCTTCATTGTGTCATTGTGTTCCCCTTTAATACATTTATGTCCAAAACGTATACTTAGAAAATAAAACATTTTCTAGACATCAATAGATGTTCCCAATGAAGTAAAAAATAAATACGTAACATGTTTTTAACCTCATATCAGCAACATTACTATCAATGATTCTATAATTAAGAGTATAAGGAGAATTTTCACTCATTTTGTGATTTGAAAAACTGGAAAACATCTGTGTACCTACCTGATTCTCTAGCCTAGCCAACTTCTTATTAAATCTGCAAAAACTAAATGATAAATCCATATTTGCACACTAAGGACATACCACATGAGAATAGTAGAAATAAATAAGTCTCTATATTTAAAAGATTTACTAACATTTAAATGGGAAATGTCCCTCACAGGATCACGGGTTGACTACTTTGTTCCCAGCTGGTGGTACTGTTTTGGAAGGTTGAGGCAGGTGTTGAGAGTTATAGGCCGGCTGGGTTTCTGCTTTCCAACTCCCTGACCCACCCAGAGGAGACTAGTCCATGCTGCAAACTTCCATTGATATGGACAGAGCTACAACTAACTGCACACTCTGTCTCCTTAAGTGGCAGACAAAGTAAACATCCCTTTCTTTTTTTTTCTTTCTTTTTTTATTATTATTTTTTTATTTTATTAGTTCAAATTAGGAACAAGCTTGCTTCAGATGTCAATCCCTTCTCCCTCTTCCTCCCCTCCCCCCAACAACCCACCTGCCCCTAGCCATCCTCCCTCCACTCCCCAGGCAGGGTAAGGCCCTCAAAAGGGGCTCCCCAAAGTCTACCACATCACCCTGGGCCAGGTCTAGGCCCTTCCCCATGTGTCCAAGTCAAGAGAGCATCCCTTCATATGGGATGGGCTCTCAAAATCCCTTCTTTTTTTTTTTTTTAAGACCTTACATATTTTTTTCCCAAAGTTGACAACACAGCTAAAGTTTCCAAAAATTCAAATTATACATATATATATATATATGTATGTATTATATTTATATAAAAAAACCAATAATGGCAGTATGTTATGCATCAATAGCAGCAACAGCTTTTCCAGGTTCTGCAGTCATTTAAACAAAATTATAGAGACATCCATGCATTGCCACACCATTCAGAAAAGCAGCTCATGCAGGCAGTCAACCTTTTGCATTCCCAGAAGTCCATGCTGCATTTTTTTCTATTTATATTAGAAACAATCTTATTTTACATATCAATTCCAGTTCCCTCTCCATCCCCTCCTCCCCTGCCCCCCCACCAATCCCCTATCCCATTCCCTTTCTGCTCCCCAGGGAGAGTGAGGCCTTCCATGGGACATCTTCAGAGTCTGTCATCTCATTTGGAGCAGGGCCTAGGCCCTCCCCCATGTGTCCAGGCTGAGAGAGTATCCCTATCCTCTATGTGGAATGGGCTCCCAAAGTCCATTCATACACTAAGGATAAATACTGATCCAGAGGCCCCACAGACTGTCCAGGCCTCCTAACTGACACCCACAATCAGGGGGCCTGGTTCAGTCCTATGCTGGCTTCACAGTTGTCAGTCTGGGGACCCCTTGTTCAGATCAGCTATTTCTGTGAGTATCCTTAGCATGGTCTTGACCCCTTTGCACAAAGACAACTGTTCTACTATGTTCATAGCAAGCATTATTTGTAATAGCCAGAACCTGGAAGCAACGTAGGTGCCCCTCAACTAAGGAATGGATAAAGAAAATGTGGTACATTTACACAGTGGAGTACTACTCAGCAGAGACAATGGAATCTTGAAATTAGCAGGCAAGTGGATGGAACTAGAGGAAACCATACTGAGTGAGGTAACCCAGTCACAAAAAGGCAAACATGGTATGTACTCACTCATATATGGATATTAGACATGGAGCAAAGAATTATCAGCCTACAATCCACACTGCCAGAGAAGCTAGGAAACAAGGAGAACCCTAAGAGAGATATACATGGTCCCCCAGAGAAGGAGAAAGGGACAAGATCTCCTGGGCAAATTGGGAGCATAGGGAGGGGGAGGAAACTAGGAGAATGAGAAGGGGAGAAGGGGAGGATTGAGGAAGACATGAGGAAACAGGAAGGTAGAGTTGGGGCAGGGGGGACAATAGAGGAGAGCAAGAAAAGAGATACCTTAATATAGGGAGCCATTATAGGTTTAAAGAGAAATCTGACACTAAGGAAGTGTCCAGAGATCTACAAAGATGACCCCAACTAAGAATCTAAGCAATAGTTGAGAGCTATCTTAAATGCCCTTCACCTATAATGAGACTGATGACTGCCTTATATGACATTCTAGAGCCTTCATCCAGTAGCTGATGGAAGCAGAAGCAGAGACCCACAGCTAAACACTGAGATGAACTCCAGGAAACCAGTTGCAGAGAGGGAGGAGTGATGAGCATGCTGCATTTTTTCAATCAAGTGGTATTTAAAGAAACTTCATCAGTCCTTACATGGTAGAACCTAGGCAAACATTTGTTGTTTTTGGAGCCCTTGGCAATCTATGGGGCCTCTGTAGTGGAACAATACTTATCCCTAACGTATGAATGGACTTTGGGAGCCCATTCCACATAGAGGGATAGTCTCTCAGTCTAGACATATGGGGGAGGGCCTAGGCCCTGCTCCAAAGGCTGTGACAGACTCTGAAGGTCACCCATGGAAGGCCTCACCTTCCTTGGGGATCAGAAAGGAAATAGGATAGGGAGTTAGTGAGGGGGCAGGATAGCAGGGGAGGGAGAAGGAACTGGAACTGACAATCTTGTTTCTAATTTAAATAGAAAAAAAGTACACAAGTAGATAGGATGCAATAGCCAAGTTGCTTTGCTCATTGTTTATTCTGCAATATTGTAAAGGTTTTAAGTATTGTCACTGCAATCTATGTTAGTTCAAGCAGCTTTGGCATAGATAAGACAATATTCTCAATTTATACCATGAATACACAGACAGTGATAGACAAGAATATTTCAGTAGTAACCTCAATTTCAAAATGGATTTTGGCAAATAGTTGGCTATTTATAGAGAATTGCTCAGGTATTTAGAATACTAATAAATAATTGACTTCTTCCACAGAATCCAACTTTATGTGGTCCATGCAGTCTAGTTAATACAAAATTCAAAACTAAAAAATTAAAACAAAGAAAAAGCTTTAAACATAGTAATAAATTATAAATACTGGAGGAAGGAATGGGCTTTTCATACACAAGCATCATAAAAATCAATATGTTGCAGTAACTTTACAAAGTTTGTGTAAATGTAGTAAATTAATTATTCCCAGGCAGAAGCTATAAGCACTAGAATAAGTGAACTCAATTAGCATGCAATACAATCTTCCCAGATAATTGCTTTGCACAGTGCTAAATTCTTCAAAAGCTTGGTGCCACAGATGGAAAAAGCTAGAGTCAGTAAAGACTGACTCAAAATGAATACATCTTTTAAAAGTGATGTTTAATAAATCCTATATTTTAAATGAAATGTTACCACTTATTATATATAAACGTATGCACATATGTATTATGAAGCTGAGCAGGGTGGCTCAGCCCTGTAATCGGAATGCTCTGGAGGGTGAAAGGGGAGCAAAATGGAGCAAGAGACCAAGATCAGCCTGGACTATAACAAGGTCTTCCAGACCAAACAAAATTACTGAACTACACAGTGCGAGATTTGCCTCAAAAAGAAAAAAAAAAACAGTAGATTTAAGATAGGATATAGTAATGAATTTAGGAAATAGTGATCAGAGATGAGTGAGAAGATGAGCCAGTAAAAGTACTTGCCACTCAACCCTGATGGCCTGAATTCAGTCACTCACATCCATGGAAAGGGAGAAGAAAAAAGCCAACTGCACAAAGTTGTCCTCATTACCTTAGTGAGTTCCCTATCACTGCAGGGGAAACTTCTCTAGTCTCATTTTTTTTTGTAGTTACTATATATAAAGTCATGTGTATGTGTATGCATATTATATACAGATATACTATATGTCTTACTATGTTGCTCTCCCAACTTATCAGCTAATGAAAAGTTCTCTTTTACTTAATGTTTAGCTTAATGGAAAGACAACCACAAACATTTTCTTGTCCTACTTTTGCTGAAAGCATTTTAACAAGGCAAAGTGCGTTTGTTGGTTCCTTAAGAAGAGAGAATGCTGTGGTACAAGTGCAAGCATGTGTTTGCACACCCCACACACACACACACATAAGCACACACACAAAATAAAATATTTTAATTATATTGATTGCAAATACCTGATTAAATTCTAGTTTATGTGCCAGACACTATTCTGTCTTATTAGTGAATATATTATTCATCTACTAAGCACCTTATGAAGGGGCTGTATCAGCACTCATCTTTTCTTTGAAGAACAAGGAGGCTGAATAACTTATCAACTATCACTTGGTTTAGCCAATTTCAATAAAGAGGTTGATTTCAAAATCCCATACTAGCATTCACTACAATGTATGGATATAATAGTCAACCAAAGGCATGCCCTTTGCTAATTAAATATTAAAATATTTCTTTCATTTCTTTATATATTTTATAATCTGTAGCAATATCTTGTAAAACAATCATACAGACATGAGATTATGATACTCCTTTCTTAGTCCCCAAACTAAAATTCTTTGTTCTTATCCAAGTTTCCAATTTTACAGGTCCATGCCTACAAGAATATTCCTTAAGCATACTAAAGGATGAACCAAATAGTCTTCAGTGACATGTCAAAACAACTATGTAAATAAATAAAAAGTATTACATTGAATAAAAGATGAAAGATGAGAAGTATCTGATAATTCAAAAGGGGAGCGATTACTTGAAGGCTTCAAGGTAGATGTAGAGGACTAAATTGAATTTTACAGCATGAATCAAGTTCAGATAAATGTTTAATGGATGAGAAAGGACTTCCAGGCATAAGGCAATTATGAGTGGGAGGACACAGACGGGAAAGAGATTGATGAACAAGAAACTGAGGCCCAGTGGCAAGAAGCAAAATGTAGATAAGTGCATTTCGGGGGGTGGGGGGGAAGCAATCTTGAAAGGAGATGACGAAGGATCTGGAAACGTAGGTAATTCTATAAATAAGGATATTTGAGGTAAAAGACAGCAGTGCATAAAATAGATTGATATGCTAATGAGCTAGATGTAGAAATTGCAGCGGTGATGGAAGAACTAGAAGGAGTAAAATAATGTACTATGCAAGTCGAGTCCATCCAAATGAAAGAAAAGAGTGAGAGGAAGTGAGTCCATGGGATAAGCTACTGGGAAGACAAAGCAGAGAAATAAGTAAACCCAAACATAGGAAAACAGGCCATCATCTCAGCATGAAATGCTCCAATGCAGGAGGCATCCAGATTATCAGGAGATAGTTTAGCAGGCACATTTAAAAATGCTGCACAGAAATCCAAGAGCAAAACCAAACTGAAACCTGAACACTAATTGCAGAGGTGTAACAGGGACCCATGTAGTGTAAAGTTGAGAATAAAGGTCTGAAAGTCCCTGAGAAACATCAACATTGAGAGGGACAAGGAGAAGAAACGGAATTTAAAAGATAAAATAATTTCTTAGGATGGTGCAAATCCGGGTATGTTATAATTAGGAAATTATAAGTTGTGATACTTCAAAGTGAGAGTATATAATTAACAATATCAATTATCACACATAGGTCAAAGGTAGGAAACTCTGAGGAAGTCCCTAAGATAATTAACAGACTATTAACATCCTTCGGGAAAAGGACTACAGCAGGCACAGGAAGGTCTCTCTTAAGATGTCCACCTCTGATTCCTTGCAGCTTGTGGATATGTTATTTTATATGACAAAAGAGACTTCACAGATGCAAGTAAATTCATGAATTGGACCTTCACAAGTGAAAGAAGGAAGGAGACTGGTAGAAGCTGATCAAATGATTCGATGGTGTTTGAGAACTGATGCTCGATCAGTGATTGAACTGATGTGATTCCTGGCTGAACCACAGGCAGAGAACGCAAACAACTTCTCACAGCCAGAAAGGTAAGGAACTGGCTTCTTGCCAAGAACCTCCAAAAGAAATCTGTCCTGGTATACCTGGACTGTAGCCCATGGAGATCCATTTGAGACTTGTAACTTCCAGGACTATGAGGAAAAAATGTGTGTTGTTTCTGAGACACCAAATCTGAGTTATAGCAGATGCCAAGGCAGGAATCTAACACAGCAGTTCAGGAAAGGAATGAAACAAGTTATTACTTTTCACATGAACACTTGCTCATCTCTGAATAAGTAGGAGATTTGGGGGCTAATCTCAACTATGTAAGTTCCTTAATTATTTCATATCTTCATTTTCTCGTCTGTGGTGTAAAAACTTAAAGAAGAGGATCAATGTAGGAAAAGATTGGTAACCCCACATAGCAAGGGCTCAATAAGTGTTCATTATTACTATGTTGTGTGGTGATTTTTCCACAGAGGTAAGAAATAAGAGATTTGGAAAAATCTGAGACACAATCATCTCAAGGTCATGTGACTACTTTGCACTTATCCAATACATAAACCAGTTTTCTTGGCCCCAGTCCAAAAAAAAAAAAAGTTTATTCTTTTGGCAAAGACTGCTAGCTGCTGCCCTTCATTTTAATAATGCTATTTGACCATAAATATTCTCCTCAAAAATGTTCACATAATTAGACAGTACCCTTTATATCACCACTTGCAGGTGGGTGTGTGCATGTGTCTATACCCTGATTCAAGAGATGTGGCTAAAATTGAAATATTCTACTTGTAGGCCAGTCTCCAGAAAAGAAACTGCTTGTGCTCTGCCTTCACCATCTAAAAGGCTAGAACATGAGTAAAGTGCATTTAAGAGAGGGCATCATCATCACAGGGAGTAAGGGACAACAACACAGTAAAAGAAAAACAGACTCCTGGTGACGTCACTGAACAGACACAGCCACTGCCTCCCACCTTCCACCCATCTCTCCACCGTTCCATGACAATCTGCATTGCCTTAGCTAAAGGGATCCATCTCTAGATACACTATCCCTATAAATAATGTGTTTTAAATGGGAAAGTAAAGGGGATATCAAGCAAAAACATAGATTCCCAGTAGACTCACATTGAAATAAGCAATTAATACTCTAAGACTGGAGTTTGCCATTCTAAATTATAGTGATAGAATTAATAATAGTGGTAATTACAAGCATATTGTGTTCTAGAAATTTTTTCATACCATTGCTTGGTGCAATCAACACTATGTTTCAGAGAAAGAATCCAATGTATCTCCATTTTCAGATAATAAAGCTGACATATGAGAGTAACTACATTGCTGAAGAACGACCAAGAAGGAAGAATCACAAGTCAGACTTTAGCTCGGGCTTGACTAATTCTTCCACCTCAGTTTTCAACTGCTATATATGCTGTCTCCCCTGCAAAAACAGCGAACTATAGTTTAACAAGATTTGAACTACTACAATAATAAGATTCTCTACTGCATGTGATTTATATTATACCTAAGTAGTCATATTTTTAAGTTTCTATATGGAAGCATATTTTACATACTGATTTCTTCCAATTAAACTTTATGAGATGGCTCATTTAAAAATGGTAAATGTAAACTTGAACTGCATGTGTGATGCACATAAACACATATGCAAATGCATAACATTTTCAAGAAATTAGCAGTACACACTTTTGGCTTCAATCCTAAGCCCAATGTGGAGGAACAGCTGCGTGGAATTTAGAGCCTAAACTGGTAATCACCACTGGTTCTAAGTAGCCAATATTAAGCAAATTATAATTTTAAATTATTATGCATTCTTCAATTGAATTCTTCAGTCAAACAGTCACTGAAGATTATTTCTGGAAACTGAAGCCTATCTCCTAATTACATGTTTTTCATCTTTGAGGAAGACTTCCCAAAAACATAGATTGCAGTTTTGTTTAAAGATTACCCAGAAATTTGAATCCCTTTTCCAAAGCATATTATTTACTTTGAATATAAAATATATAGTTGGGCATGAATCATCACCACTAATCTGAGATTTGATTTCCAGTCCAGCAGTCAGTTCATAAAAGGACAGCAAGTCTGGGGATGAATATGCTATTGACATTCAGGTGACTACTTAGGAACACAAAATTTCTCCTTTAAAATTATATCACCAAAACTGTGTAACACATCTGAATGAGTTACAAAATGAGTACTAGATTTAATAGGCTCAAACCTACATTCAGAGAAAAAGTTACTTGGAATATAGATAATTGCAGATTCATAATGAAGACTTCCTTAGGTTGCTGTCTAATTCACCAGGCACTAAGTATGTACATTCGGCAAAGTTGCTATATGTTCAGCTCAGAGGTAGGCATATCCATCCCAGGCCTTCATTCAAAGTGCTTTCTATACTTACTGAGAAGTCATAGCTGCTAGTGGTGGACATCACATACCTGGAATGAGTCTGTGGCCTATACATTCATTTGTTTATTAAAGCATACCAAACCTTGTAAAGTGGGAGCTTTTGCTACCTCTGTTTCATATGTGAAGAAGTTGAGTCATCAAGGCTAAGAGATATGCATGAAGGCAGATGGCTTGTGGGTGGCTGAGGTCAGTCTAACCACAAAGGATGCTACATTATGTCCACAGCATACCCCACATTGCAGAGTGTCCTGTATGTGATCATTTTTATGAAACCACTGGGGAAAAAAATCAGCAAACAAAATGTACCAGTATGTCTTCCTCTCCTGTCCTCATCTCCCCTTCTCTTTCTCCTAACTCCCTCTCCCCTCCCCCATGCTCCCTATTATCTCAGGATATCTTGTCCCTTTCCTCTTCTCTGGGGGGGACCATGTATGTCTCTCTTAGGGTCCTCCTTGTTTCCTAGCTTCTCTGGAGGTGTGGATTGTAGACTGTTACCTTTGCTCGAAGTCTAAAATCCATATATGAGTGAGTGCATACCACGTTTGTCTTTCTGTGACTGGGTTACCTCACTCAAGATGGTTTTTTCTAGTTCCATCCAATTGCCTGCAAATTTCAAGATTACATTGCCCCCCCCCCGCTGAGTAAATATGTAAAAGTACCACATTTTCTTTCGGCTATTACAAATAATGTTGCTATGAACATAGTTGAATAGATGTCCTCATATTGAATAGATGTCCTCATTGTATGAATGTGCATCTTTTGAGTATATGCCTAAGAGTGGAATTGCTGGATCTTGTGGGTAGACTGATTCCCATTTTTTTTTTTTTTGAGAAACCTCCATACTGATTTCCAAAGTGGCTGTATGAGTTTGCACTCCCACCAGCAATGGAGAAGCATTCCCCTTTCTCCACATTCTCTCCATCATAAACTGTCTTGGTGTTTTTTGTTTTAGCCATTCTGACAGGAGCAAGATGGTATCTCAGACCTGTTTTGATTTGCAATTCCTTGATGGCTAGAGATGGTGAGCACTTTCCTGCATGTCTTCTTTCCTGCATGTCTTTCAGCCATTTTAGATTCCTCTATTGAGAATTCTCTATTTAGCTCTGTACCCCACTTTTTAATTGGATTATTTGGTGTTTTGGTGACTAGCATAGAGGATAGGAGAGAGCAGGAAGACTGAGTTGTGGGAAGAATAGAGGAGAGCAAGAAAAAGAGATACAGTGAAAGAGGGAGCCATTATAGATTTAAAGAGAAATCTGGCACTAGGGAAATGTCCAGAGATATACTAGCATGACACCAACTAAGAATCTAAGCAATAGTGGAGAGGCAACCTTAAACACCCTTCCCCAATAATGAGATTGATGACTACCTTATATGCTATCCTAGAGCCTTCATCCAGTAGCTGATGGAAGCAGAAGCAGAAACCTATAAACACTGAGCTGAACTCCTAGAATCCATTTTCAGAGAGGGAGGAGAGATGAGCAAAGGGGTCAAGATAAGGCTGGGAAAACCCACAGAAACAGCTGACCTGAACAAGGGTGAGCTCATGGACCCCAGACTGATAGATGGAAAACCAGCTTAGGACTAATCCAGATCCTCTGAACGTGGGTGTCAGTTAGGAGATCTGGGCAATCCATGGGGCCTCTGGTATTTATTCAGTATTTATTCTTAATATACAAATGGACTTTGGGAACCCATTCCACACAGAGGGATGCTCTCTCAGCCTAGACACACGAGGGAAGGCCTAGGCTCTGCTCCAAATGATATGACAGATTTTGAAGATCCCCCATGGAACCCTCACACTCCTTAGGTAGCAGAAAGGGCGTGGGATGAGGGTAGGTGTGGGGCAAGAAAGGAGGGGAGGGAAAAGGAACTGGGATTGACAAGTAAAACAAGCTTGTTTCTAATTTAAATAAAAAAGGGGAGAACAAAATCAACTTATACAAGTATTTCTACACAAGAAATGAATTCTTATTTCCAGAATGTCAAATATGAAGAATAAGTAAATACTAAGAAAACAGAACAATATTGGAATGAGTGGTGGTTTTTAACACAGGTACTATGCACCAGTTACCACATTAAAAGTTTGGCATGGATTTCCTCACTTAATCATTATTAAACATCTGAAATGGTAGTTTTATCCCTGAGTCACAGATAGCAAGTCTGTTCTAGGATTAGTAATCTTACTCAGTCTCCAACAATGAGTTCATGATGGGACCAAAATTCTAGCCTAGGCACTTCAGTCCAGAGTCCTCCCTTGGAATCACTAAACCATACTATACCTTCCCCAGCCTAATTGATGGGGGGAAAGTAACTTGCCATCTCATCTCTAAGTTAGTTTAACTCTCATTCAAGATGACCCTCAAAACAAAAACTACCAAGCAAGCTAGATTCCCAAAAAGCTTTTACAGTAAACAGTATAAAACAGAAGAGTGACTATTATAATATAGATAATTGAACAAAACAGGAACTCTTCTACTTTTTCTGCCTGAACATGTTTTTGTGAGGATTATGAACCTTAACTACCCTACTCCTAGTGCTATCCTTTCAAATACTCCTATGAAGTGAAGGGAGAAAGAAGGCCAAATTGGTTTTACTGCAAGTTTTTATTTATCCTCATCTTATTTCTGCCTGAGCAACAAGTTTACTATAAGAGATCAAAGGCTTAAAATAATAATAAAAATCCATAATAAGGTTATAAATTATGATTACCCCTCTAAGTACTTTTACCCATTCATTTAATAAGACCTCCATGTAACTGCTACAGGTTACTGATTTTCATCGAATATCAAAAATAAATGTGATGTGATAGACTTTGAATATCCCCCATGGAAGGCTCACCCTCCCTGGGAAGCAGAAAGGGGATAGGATAGGAGGTCAGTGGGGGGCAGGGGAGGAGGGCATGGAGAGGGAACTGGGATTGATATGTAAATGAAGCTTGTTTCGAATTTAAATAAAAAAGAAAAATAGATGTTAATTATAGCTTTGGTAGGCTTATGATGAAAAGGAAAAGATACAGATTACTGTAATGGTGTAAAAGGTGACATGACAGTAGCTTATGTTAGATAAAAGTCTCACTGAAGCAGAAAATAATGAGATAATGGGAACTGCAAAGAAAAAAATGTAGAACACTGAGAAAATTTGCAGAGTTTGATGCTAATTTTACTTTGAAGAAGATAGCATGTTGAAATTGGTTTCAACACATGCCATTGCCAACAACAATGAAGAGCCATGTCTTATATGCTTTTGACTTAGTTATGTTATGTGTAAGATAATGATTATAAAGAATAGCTCTTCTTACAGTTTAATTTGAAAATACAGATACTTATTGTTTAAAAAACTAGCTTTCTTACCCATGCTGGTGAGCATGTGTTTTCTCCTAAAAATAATTTTAGAATACAGCAGTTGGTTCTAAAATACCTTGATACGGATTTGTATAGAAAATTTCATAGCCCATTATCTAATGAGTTCCTATGTATTAAATATGACTGATTTTAATGTGGGGATTTAGCTTCTGGTCTATAGAACATAAAATTCCTTCACAGTGTCTCAACCTGTAGTTAGCACATAAACCAAACTGAACTGAAATTGAGAATCAGCTCCCAAGATCTCTGTAGGGTGTTGAGCAAGTAGTGGTCCATCACACACTGATTATTCGGCAACTCCAACCCACTTTGAAGCGATCATAAGATCTCTGGACAGACTGCCTAGTAACCAAAGGAAGACGCTAAGTATGAACTACTTTCCCCACTTCCTTTATACTCGCAACTCTAGTGCAACTTATGGAAAGGAGTGAACCAATGAAAATTGTGGCTACTAAATGCTGTTAAAATCTAATATCTCTGTATTCTGCTTGCATGCTGACATTCAAAAGAAGGATCTTTCTGTTGACCTTTAGATCTTATTATTAGGGATGACACTATAGGCAAAATTATGTGTATTTGTTCAAAAAGAATGGATGGCAGGAGGGAAGGAGAAAGAGGAAGACAAAGAGCAAAAGAGAAAGAGGGAAGTGGACAAACAGGGAGAGCAGGGGGTACAATGGTGACAGGGAGACCCCTCTATTGAACTTAGAAGTCTTGAATTCTAATATCACACTCTACATGACCATCAACACTTAATTTCTTTTGCCACAAGTACTGTAATATAATAATTCTGCAATTCTTAGACTCCTAGTATTTATCATGGATCCCTAAAATTCCAATCATGGCTTTTTAAATATTCCTACAAGACTAGACTTGTCAAAGCATAAATCTTAATGAAATGTTTTCAGAGACATTTATCAAGATCATAATGAAATATAGTACAATTTTCCTATGTTAGGTATGAGAAAAGAGCAACTAATACACAAAGATTACAAAAATAATATCAGTGATAAGCTGGTAGAGAATCTGCAATTACTTTCCAAGATTTTCATGTATAAACGGAAAATTTTAGATGGATTTTCAAAGAGAAAAAATAATGTATGCCAAATACTTTAAAGAGTATTTGTAGGATCTTCAAGTCAATTTGTTAACTGTAATTTATTAACACAGTAAATAAAATGTTCTAGAATTGGAGAATAAAGTCTGAAGAAGGAAGAGGTGAAGAAAAGAAAGGGAAAAGGAAGGAGAGAAAAGGGGAAGAAGAGGAAAGAAGGAAGGAGGGAGAAAACCAGGGTCAAAAATCGAGTTGATGATGATCACACACACACACATACACACACACAGAGAGAGAGACACACAAACACACACACACACACACACACACACACACACACACACACAGACAGAGAGAGAGAGAGAGAGAGAGAGAGAGAGACAGAGTGAAGATACCTGTATGTGAGCACAAGCCTCTGTAGAAGCTAGAGGCATTGGATCCCCTGGAGTTGGAGTTGCAGGCAGCTCCCAACCACCAACATGGATGCTGAGAATGCCACTTGGGTCTTCTGCAAGAACACTATGTGCTCTTAATATCCTAGTGATCTCTCCAGCCCTCTATGTTATTACTCAAAAAAAAAAAAATAAAGCATTAACTCCTAGTATATTTCTTGTCTCTTATAAATTGATTAAAGGATCTAAGGCCTCTATGAAAACAAAAACAAATAAATAAATAAATAAATAAAAACACTGAGATCTCCTAAACTTTCACCCTTGGGCTTGGGCAACAGCCACAGTAAATAAGAACAAAACTTGTTTTCACGTAGAACCCCTCTACAATGGGTGTGGACCTGCAGGAAAACAAGAGAGAGGATTTATATCAATTTATAGTTACAAGAAGCCTCTTCTATTTGACTGACCTCCAAACCTTGAAAATCCCTTTTTTATGGCACAGACATGCCACAAAAAGGTTATTAATGAACCTTTTTACTTTTTCTAATGGTATCATGTTTCTTTACTACTATATAGTTCTACTATACTTTACTTTCATCCCAAGTCATTTTTCATTTAAAGACATGCCTAAAATTTCAGCATTTAGTTTCCCTGTAAAAACCTGTCATACAGGACATGATTTATAATTTTAAGTCAAAAGAGCCAAGATACATCACTTTTAAAGAAAATGGGCTTTGCAGTGAACAGTTTTCGGATACAACAATGACTCATGTACTAGAATGGTAGTTCAAAAAATACTGCTCATCTTCCTTCCCAAACTATGTTAGTCTAAATGATATGGCCTACACTGCAATATCAGATTATTTCCCTAGGGTCACTGGCTTTACACACAAAGTTATCAACTTCTGATATTAATTTGGAAGTACTCCAAAGCATTTCATCTCCACACAATGATTAAAAAAATTAAAACACTCAACATCTCAATTCATAGTTCCTAGTGTCTCCTGGAGATAAAGCTAGAAGGGCAGAAGATAGTAAGACCTCATTCTAATGCATGCCTTCTACTCACAGCCATTCTGACAGAGCTTTATGTGATATCCATCAACCCTCAAAAAAAAAAAAAGCAGGAAATCTGAATCACTGGTCACTTGGTTAGATCTTATTTATTCACTACATACCAGATTTCATGATTCAGATACACACTTCACACAGTATCAACAGCACATTGGAATTCATGTTAGATTTGGATTCTACTAACTGTACATTCATGTATGTTTCAATACGACAAACCATTGAATCCATCTACATTATCAAGACTAAACCCTAAATTCCTCTTCCATTGGAATTTTCCTTCTGTTCTATTAGCTAAAAATTTTCTTTCCTTTCTTATCCATTCTTTTTCTGTCTATTATTGCCTAGAAATATTCATGCTTCCACTTATCTACTCTGCTTTAACTTTGGGACTGGTCCAATACATTGTAAACCTTAGTAGAACTAGTTAAAACACGGGAACTGAAAAGAGAAAGATGGAAATAATTAACCAACACTCCATCTCAGTTTTCCACTGTTACTACTGTCTTCTAATCCAATGCTGATTATGTATAGAAGAGATTCAACCTCTTTCCAAGAACCAATGGAAAAGGGAAAGGAAGGGGAAAGAAGGAGAAGAAATGGAGGGAAGAATAGAGGAAGGAAAAGGGATGAAGAAAGGAGGGAAAGGAAGAAGGGGCAGGGAAGGAAAGAAAAGAAAATGGTTTGACATTTGTTAGAGAAGAAAGAAGACATTTATAAGCAATATAAAGGAAGAACTTTATGATTGTCTGGGCAGAGCCTTTCAAATGTTCCCTCTGTTCCAAATGTGCAAATAATCACCAGGACTAAAAAAGTCATCTTCCTGGGAACTTTGGATGCTACTGCTAGAACAATGATGAAAGACAGGTTTTTCTATCCACTCAGGCACTCACTCATAAGTGAGACATTGTAACAGTGGCATAGACTCTACAGAGCTGAAAGGAACTTCAAAAAGACTGGAAATCACCTAACTTCTAGCTTCAAACCACTTAAATTGAAAATGTGGCTTTAAACTCAAAATATAGGACATTTCACAAAAAATAAAAATTACAGTTTACACATGTATCTGTATGAACATATTCAAATATCTGTGATTAGTAACGTGGTCTAATGTGCTTCTGACACATATCTATCCAAATTACAGTTGACATGGCAAAGTAGGTAACACAGTAACATACACTCAAATGAATTATATAAAACCTGTGAACATGTGCTGTTTAATTTTATTAATGAAATTTAGATTATAGATTAAATATTTTATAGTAAATTAAATTTATCAGTGCCCATGGTCCTTAGGAAATATTTAAGTGAAAAATATATAGCCATGCCCACTGGAAAGTAGAAATGAACTAGGTATGATGGTGGTTCATGCCTTTTATGCCAGCACTGAGGAGGCAGAAGCAGGGGATCTCTGGGAGTTGCAGGCCACCCTTTTTGACATAGTGAGCTCCAGAACAGCCAGGACTATGTAGAGAAACACTATATTAAAAGGAAAAAATGTTGAAATGGTATTTAATCTTTTTATGCTCATTCTTAGAGGTATTTAAATTCATGTCACTTTTCCTTTATCTTTAACAGTGTAGTATTTTATGTTCATAATATTTTAACTGTCTAAAATTGTTAGCTTTATTTTTATGGCCTTCTTATATTTTGATTTACTATAAAAACATTCTGCCCACCAACAAATGTTTTTAGTAGTAGATAAAGCAATAGCTCTTCTAGGGAGCAAACACCATCTTAGCTATTGGGAAATAGAATTAAACATTGAAGTGAGACTGGGTCATTGGCAAATACATACAATAAATTTCATATCTGTAAGGAGAATGACATGTTCTTTTCTATTTGTGAAAAATATAAAAGAAATGCATAACTAGGAACAATGATTTAAGCTGGTGATATAAAACATGAAAAAGTCAATGAGAAATAGGACTATGCCCTTCATCTCCTGCTAAGTGTTCTTTGGACTTTTCTTTAAACGTTGCTTCTGTCCATCTTAGAACCATGAAGTTCTTTCCTCCATTTAAACTGGGGGATACTACTACCTGACAGAAACATTTTTGTTGCAACATATTTAATAGGGCAAGTAACAGTATGGCTCTTTACCAACATTGAGTGAAGTAGCTGAACCCACTAAAAATGACAAAAGCTTCCAATGAGAATTGCTTCCAGCTGTGTAGACATCATCTGGACACATGCCATGCAAATGACATTTTTCTCGCTGAGGTATTATGATTTTAGTATCGTTAACTTCACTGCCAAACTTTAACACTGAAACAAAAGACAGAAGTTTGCAATAAAATGTGTAATTAAACCACAAATAAGGTGAGAACATCTGCCCAAAACAATAAAGTACATATTTTATTATTATCAGTATTTATTTCTTGTCATTCTTCAAATTCTAAGACATATATAATCTAAGAGAGAAAAAGGTCTTCACACTACAAAAATGTGAAATAAAATGAAAAGTAAAGAACCTAATTATTATTAAATAGCTATAACTACCAGGTTTGGAGCCACAATTTTCATCCTGGTTCTAACAGTTTTATGACCATGGACACCCTTTGGATCTCATTAGGATGTAATATTTCATATATAAAATAAAGAAACAAAGTAAAAGAGATCGATATTTCATTGCATTTTCCTTGAAGGAGACTCCCTAGTGTGCATAGCACATGGATAGAAATCTCAAACAGAAAATGGCAGTGTTATTTGGCCAAGGATCAGAGACCAAAGATGATTAATTACATAGAAATGAAGCAGAAAATCATAGCTTGCAGCAGGCACAGCAGGTCAGGCCTAACCCTGCACACCAACACCAAGTATACCTTTGAGGCAGCTTTTAGTTTTGAAGCACAGGTAGAGAACTGAAGAAATCAGGCAGAGAATTTGGTTGCCTGTTTCTAAAAATACAAACCTAGAAAAGAGTTCAAATTGGCTCAAGCTAACAGGAATTGTCTCCCCATCAAAACCCTTGTAAGACATATCACCCTGCATAAGGACAAAAATAAATCAAGTTTCTCAAGAATCACATGATTTTTTAGTGACTTCACTAACTGTTTAAAAAACAAACAAACAAACAATCAAAACAGCCCACACTTTCCAGAGCACAACATCAAGAATGGCTAGTACATGGCATTCAGAGAAATAGGTAAAATTGTCCATTAGTTAAAATTAAGAAGCAGGGCTATAAATAGCCCACATCTCACATTTACATATAAGGAAATCTCAGTATAACCATATCAAGAAACTTGTAGAAATAAATACAATGACTGAAACAATGATGAGTTTCTAGAGCACCAAAAGTTCTAGAACACAAATATCTGGTTGGAATTAAAACCCACTCCATGTGATTGAATTCATACTTGACACTGATTGGGTGGCCAAGAACTTGAGACTAGATAGCCCAGAGACATAGGGAAAACCAAATACTATTGTTCTGCTAATGGAACATAGCAATAAATATGACTCTTAGAGACATTATCTATACCCATAGATCAGAGCCTTACATAGACATCATGAGAAAAGCTCCCTCCTTCAGAAGATGGAAAAAACCAAAGACCTGCAGCTGCACAACGTACAGAGAGTGAGAAAACTTGGAACACTCTGTTCTAAATGGGATGCCTTCATTAAACTTCTCCCATCAGAACTCAGAAACTCAATGGAATAGGAAGCAGAAACATTGAAAGAGCCAGAGAAGATAATGATGTGTCTTCCAGATACAACAGGGCTGATTCACATATGAACTCACAGAGACTGTGGCAGCATGCACAGGGCCAGCCAGATGGAATTCTAGAGGAGGAAGTGGACAAACCACATTTAAGGAAGGCCACGAGTTCAGCAGTAGATGACCAACACATACACACAAAAACAACTCAATGGTATTTTTGGAGATTTTTCTTTAATCTCATAATGCTTTGTTTTGTATTTTTAAAACATTACCTTACAGGTCTTTTGCTTATATATTATGTTTTCTAATTTTGTGTCTTATGGGGATTTCTGTGTATGTCTGCATATGTGTGTTTCTCCTTTAAATTTTGTTTTTCTGTTTATTTGTTTTGTTTTATTTTATTCTGGTTTTTTTTTGTTATCTGTCTGATTGTTTTCTGAAGAGAGAGAAGGCTTGGAGTTGGATAGGTAGGAAGGTGGGAGGACATGGGAGTAAGAGAGGGGAAAACTGATCTGAATACATTGTATAAAAATTATTTTAAAAAAACGAAACTATGGTTGTGTATAATTTCTGTCTGCTCTATGGATAGGGAAGTGAGAAAACACTGAGAAATAGTGAGGAATGATGTGTTGAATAATTGCTAAAAATAATTGAATGTACAGATTTGATAATCCCAGTTAAAATTGCATAATGTATCAATATGTGTACATAAAACTATATTGTTATATTTACTTATAAAAATATTAGAATCTAATTATTCATACCAAGAAATAAGCATTTTCCACCAGTGCACACTTTTAATAGAAGAATTTATAGTCTGTAGTTTAAAAGACATGTATAGATGGATGTATATACTTATAAATCACTTATATTTTAAGATATAATTTTTTGAAGAAGAAACAACTACTTTTGTTTGTATAAGTCTTTTTTATATATCTATGAAGAAAAATATAAAAAACTATACCCTGTGGTTAGCACTGATTCTCTCAAGGGTATGATGCTTGATGAGGGTTGTGAGGTAGGAAATGATTACAATGGACTTCATACATACTTTGGGTTTTTCATTTTATAAAAAAAACACATATTATTTTTGTAATAAATAAAATGATTTTTGAAATTAATAAATGTTCTAAGAGCAAGGATAAAAGATTGTTCTTTTTTGAAAAAAAGTTCTGGCAAAAACAGTTTGAAATGGAGATTTATACATCTTATTACTGACCATGGGATTATGTCATCAAATGCAATGTGGCTGGAAGACAATATTGGACTGACACTAAGTGAATATGGTCCAGATACCTGTTAAAATATACAAGGCAGGGCTGAAGAGGTGGCTCAGAGTTTAAAAGCACTGACTGTCTTCCTGAGGTCCTGAGTTCAATTCCCCACAACCACATGGTGGCTCACAACTATCTATAATGAGATTTTGTGCCCTCTTCTAGTGTGCAGGCATACATGCAAGCAGAACACTCTATACTAGATAAATAACATTAATATATGGCAGCTAAAAGTGGGGTAAAGGACATAGGTGGCTTTCTAAGATATAATATTGACTATAGGCAAGCCTGACCCACAGATAAGCTTCAAAATATCATACTAGGAAGTAGTGCCTTCAGCATCAAATCCTGGGTCAGGATACATGTCAAAATAAAATTTTTAAAAAAGGTATTCTAAAGGAGAAAAGCTGCTTCCAACTTGAGTCAGCAGTAGTTAAACACTGGAATCATTAAAGTAATACTCCCTAGTATACACATTGTGAGGGAGCAGAGATAAGGTACAAAATAGAGTTCTAAATTCATAGTAGACTTGTAGTCTTAGATTGTACTTTGTTCATGAGTTTTCTATGTTAAATTTTCCTTTTGGTTTATTTCCAATGAGTTTGTATTCTTAGAAGGTTGTATTATTTTCCATGCTATTCTCCTGAATCATTAGTATGTCTATTCAAATATATAACTTTCTTCCCACCTCTTCTAAATACTCTTACTTGGATAAAATACCCTGACCAAAACACCCTCAAGAAGAAAGGGTTTATTTTAGCTTATGGCTTTAGAGGCACCGAGTCCATAATTACACAGAAGGCAACAAGCAGGGAAAGCATTGGGGCAGGAACAGGAAGTGGCTGGTCATATCTCATCAGCACACAAGAAATAGAAAAAGAGAACAGGAAGTGGGTACAGATTAAAAACCCTCAAAACCCACCCCCTAGTGATATACTTCCTCCAGCAAGGCTGCAACTCCTAAAGCTTCCATAACTCCAAAACAGCACTACCAACTGAGGAGCAGGTGTTCAAGTATATAATCATATAGGGGACATTACTCATTCAAACAACAGGACTCCTGTGGTATACATCTTAGGTATACACTAGAATTTACAACACATTCCCATTCTGTAACCAAGAATAGGTAACATACTTGAACTTGGCAGTGAACAGTCTTTAACAATGGAGCAGCAACAGTAATAATAGCCAACTGTTAACGTTTTTAAATTTCTTTTAATATGTTGTCCCAGATATATCTTGAATTAGAAAAGCTTAATCTCCTGGTAGGACGAAAATGTTTCACCAAATACTAATGATGTCTGATTATAATAATCAAGTACATTATACTACAGTACTGTTTCATAGTTTGTTAGGTACCTTAGGGATACCCTAATTTCCCAAAGCAATGCAATCAACAACAACAAAAATACTTAGAATTTTACTATTAGCATACTATATTTATGTACTGAGTATAATGAACAATACAAAAATTTAAAGAATAGAAATTTGTCCTTGAAGAGTTCATTGAACATTCAGCAAGATAAAGTAAAGCATAAAAATAATACAATGCAGCCAGGTGGTAGTGGTGCGAGCCTTTAATCACAGCACTCAGGAGGCAGAGGCTGGTGGATCTCTGCCAGTTCTAAGCCAGACTGATCTAAAAAGGTAGTTCCGGGACAACTAGGGCTGTTACAAAGAGAAACCCTGCCTCAAAAAACAAAAATAAATTAATAAATAATAAATACAAATGCAATGCCCATTGTAATAATTTCATTGCACCTGATTGGATTTATGGCAAATGATCTTTAAAATGGTATATTGTTTTCTTTCACTTTGTACACTACACAATTTGTAACAATTAAGTTTTCTCTTTTATACATACATCAATCCAGTATCTTTTTTATTTTTTATTAGTTCAAATTAGGAACAAATTAGTTCAAATTGTTTCATATATCAATCCCTTCTCCCTCTCCCTCCCCTCACCCATATGCACCCCCTAAAGTGCAGAGGCCTCCTAATTGACATCCATATTCAGGGGTCTGGATCAGTCCTGTGCTGATCCATCTGGGGTCAATGTGCTCCCCCTTGTTCAGGCCAGCTGTTTCTTTGGGTTTCACCAGCCTGGTACAGACCCCTTCAATCTTCATTCTCCCTCTCTGCAACTAAGTTGCAGAGTTCAGTTTAGTGTATATCTGTGGATGTCTGCCTCTGCTTCTATCAGCCACTGGATGAGGGCTCTAGGATGGCATAAAAAGTAGTCATCAATCTCATTTTAGGGGAAGGGCATTTAGGTTATCCTCTCCACCATGTTTGAACATATGTCCTTGTTGTATGAACGTTCATTGTTTGGGTATATGCCCAAGATAGGAATTGCTGGATCTTGAAGTAAACTGTTTCCCTTTTTTCTGAGCAACGGCCATACTGATTTCCAAAGTGGTCTTACAAATTCACACTCCCACCAGCAATGGAGGAGTGTTTCTTTTTCTCCACATCCTCTCCATGATTGTCGTTGGTGTTTTTTATTTTAGCCATTCTGAGGGGTATGAGGTGGTATCTCAGAGTTGTTTTGAGTTGCATTTCTTTGATGGCCAAGGATTTTGAGCACTTTCTTAAGTGTCTTTCAGCCATTTCAGATTCCTCTGCTGTGAATTCTCTATTTAGTTCTGCACACCACTTTTTAATTTCATTGGTTGGTGTTTTGGTGGCTAAGAGTTGTTGTATATTTTGGAAATCAGCCCTCTGTCAGATGTGGGGTTGGTGAAGATCTTTTCCCATTCTGTGGGCTGTTGTTTTGTCTTACTGACTGTGTCCTTTGCCTCACAGAAGCTTCTCAGTTTCAGGAGGTCCCATTTATTAATTGAAGATCTCAAGGTCTGTGCTACTGGTGTAATGTTCAGGAAGAGGTCTCCTGTGACAATTCATTCAAGGATATCTCCCACTTTCTCTTCTAGAAGATTCAGGGTGGCTGAATTTATGGTGAGATGTTTGATCCATTTGCACTTAAGTTTTGTGCATGGTGACAGATATGGATCTTTCTGTAATCTTCTGCATGTCCGAATCCAGTTGTGCCAGCACCGTTTATTGAAGATGCTATCTTTCTTCCATTGTATAGTTTTAGCATCTCTGTCAAAAATAAGGTGTTCATAGGTGTGTGGGTTAATATCAGGGTTTTCAATTCTATTCCATTGGTCTATCTGTCTATTTTTGTTCCAATACCAAACTGTTTTCAGAACTATGGCTCTATAACAGAGCTTGAAGTCAGGGATTGT